GGTACTACCTTGTTAAGGGGCGTTGCGAGCACGCAGGCCTAAGCTGGGAGGGGCGTAGTGGAAGGAGGATTTGATGAGGTGTGTGTGGAGGGGGGCCCCCCTCTAGAGCACGGAGGCATAAGGCCCATTAGCCTAATTAATTACCTTGCCAGGATTGATTGGCAGATGATGACTGGCAAGGCGTGGCTTGGGGTGGCCAGGACTTAAAGAGAAGCCCCGAGCGCCCCGAGGGGGCTGCTGGCGGAGGCCGTAACACCATCACCCCCTTGAGGTTATCTGATTGCCCAACTTTATTGGCGGCCGATTTATATCGCCGTGTATTATCTCCCTTTTCTTGCCGTCGGCCGGCGTTAGTCTCTGGCGGGATTTTTATGAAGGGGCGCGTTGCGCACCAGGGGGGGCTTCTGCTCGAAGAAAAAGCGGAAGCAGCAGCAGCAGAGAGAACTGGGGCGATAAAAATACAAGAGCAGGGGTGGAAACATCGGAGGTCGGCGGCGGGCTGGGTCGAGACTCTGTGGACGAGCGGCACTGGATAGATGAGGGGAAGCGGGCACCTGAACTGCAGGCGCGAGTGAGTGAGTGAGAGAGCAAGCGAGAGAGAGAGAGAGAGAGAGGGTGAGGGAAAAAAGTGAGGAATGAAGGTGTGCGGGATCGGGGGACGGGACGGCGGGAGTGAGTAACAGTCGGACGTCGCAGAAATATCATCATCCCCTGGAGCGGCAGCGCGGCGCGCCCTCCTACACACACAACTCACTCGCTCTCTCTTTTGCTCGCTCTCTTTCGCTCGCTCTCTCTCGCTCGCTCTCTCCCTGCCGCGCCTCCTGCAGGTTCATCGCTCACGAGTTGCGCGGGGAGGCCGTGTGCACTAATGATAGGGCCGTTGCCCCAGGGACCTTCCAGTTGGCTCGGGCACTCTCTCTCTCTCTCTCTCACACACACACACACACACACACACACACACACACACACACACACACGCAGACGTTGACATCGCCTTTCATCCGTGCCCAGAGCCCAGAGCTCCTCTCTGCTGTGCCGCTCTCCGGTGAAAGGGGTACTACGTAGCGCTGGCGACCCTCTCCCTGACCGTGTACTATGATGCCGTCTGCCTGCGTCTCAGCCACCCATTCTCTCTCTCTCTCTCTCTCTCTCTCTCTCTCTCTCTCTCTCTCTCTCTACATATACACACTCACACACACGCACACATACTGGCTAGAAAGCACCGCCACGACCGTCTCTCACTCTCAAGCACTCACCCGTTCCGTTCGCGCGCAGGAAGGAGGAAACCCCTTTAGGGGGCGGCAACAGGAAGTCACGCATGCAGCCCCCTATCCTATCGCCGCAGGACCCCCGGCCGGCCCGGCGGCCTCGTCCTTCTATCGCCTCTGGTGCTCCATCGGCCCTCTCTCTGCCCTTTTCACACGCGACCCAACACTAGTGACTGCCACTTTGGTGACAAGACTCTCTATAAAAAGTGTCACAGATTCCGCCCCCCGTTTTTTTTCTTTACTTATTTATGCTCTTGTTCTTCTTGCTGTTCTTGCTGTAGTACGCCTTCATATCCATCCCCATCTACTGCTTTGTCCGGAGCCTTGCTGGACGTTGTCGTCACGTGAGCGAGGTGGGGGTAGAAGAATAGGGGTTGGGGGTGAGTCGACCGGCACTCCCCCGGGCGCTCCCGTCGCCACCGCTCCCACCAGCACCCGCACTTGTGCGTTCATTATAACGGCCTTATGAGGGCGAATGACGGGGCGTTTTTCTTTTCATACTCCTAAACGGTCCTTGCTGCTGCCGGCGGCGGCGGGCGCGGGGCCTTTTCTTAAGGGCCACTTGGTGGTGATTGCACCCGGGAGCGATGGTGGTGGGGCGCAGTGGTGCCCGGGCTCGCGCACACCGGACCGCCATCGCCTAAAATGCACGTTTTCTGTTTTTCTCTTTCTTTTATTGAAAAAGGGGTATTCTAAAAAAACAATTTACTATTACACCGCTTGCCAAAAAAGAAAACATGAACCATTTTAAAAAGTTTACCAACCGATGTGATGTTATTGAATAAGTTATTCGATCGCTACTTCCTAGTACCCACCCACCGCAATTCCGAGCCCCACGGCCCATAACAAGCGTCGCCCAGAACGGCACCCCCCGGCACACCGCTGTCATTCTGTTAGCTGAATGGCTGCGTCAGCGCCGGAAATAGAGTCATTATCATTCCCAATTAACGCGCCGGGACGCGGCCGCCAGAAGCGCTGCCGGCGGCGAGAAAGGGCTGAGTGATGGGGCGTCTTCCAGAGGTGTTATCGGACTGGTGGATGAGTTTGGGGCGGCGGCGGTGGACCGTCCTCCTGGATACTTACCCGTCTCGTCTCCTCCTTCAGAAAAAAGAGACATTAAAAAAAAACTCGCTTAACGTTGCCAGAAAAAAGTATCGCGTCGCACGACTGCTGGGTTGCTATTTCAATTTTGAGTGTAATTATGCATTTAGCAAAATGCTTTAAAAGTGCTATAAAAAGGTGCCTCTGGCAGTTGGAATGTCTTTTGTGAAGGAACTATGTCATTGACATCTTTTAAAAGTTTGACTTGTTGAACAATGTTACTCTGTTTTTAAAAAAGTCAGAACTGCACGAAGAATTATTCGCTGTGATTAAATAAGTTGCCAGAACTCTTTGTGAAATCACAACTCTTCTTCGTTGTCAAAAATTTATAACTCCAGAAAACTATTTTCAAGTAGGATAGCGAAATGCACAATTTTTGACTACAAAGAAGTGTTGTGATTTCACACAGTTGCTTCGTGAAAGTGTTCTGAAATCGCAAAATACTGTTACTGTTACCAGTGTATAGTCTGATTTTGCAGGATGCAAACCTTCCGGTACATACACATACACACACGCATACTAGTGTGTAATATGTTTAGTGCGCCTCTCTTTGGGGCGCTGGCGGTCGCAGTGTGCGGGGTACTACCTTGTTAAGGGGCGTTGCGAGCACGCAGGCCTAAGCTGGGAGGGGCGTAGTGGAAGGAGGATTTGATGAGGTGTGTG